TAAGGTCCCAATAGAACGGGCGATAAATTGACAAAATGGGTCCTTTTCACATAAAATGCCATCCGAAAAAACTGGCAAATTAGGAATTGGGTCATTTACCGCGCTCGGGGGCTGCCATTCATCGCATTCATGCGCCCGGTCGGAGGTTTGAACAACGTGCGCAATTTGACGTGCCACTCGCATTGGAAGTCGATGATTTGCTGATTGAAGGTGTCGTAAGACCTCTCTTGGTCTCACAACGTGCTCGCATTTCTTACAGACGAGAACTGGGTCTGTCGAAGGTTGGTGAAAGAATTGGTTTTGCATAATGAAGGTGTAGATATCTATATCTAATTATAAAGAATTGCATGAAATTTGACGAATGTCGAATGCTGACTTTGGGGTTAAATAGTGTAAAAGAAAAGTGAGATGATAGCTAGGAAGCTTCAAAACCCCCTAAATCAATTGCTACCCCTCTTGATCATTATAGACTAGCATTATCGAGGTTGTTCTATTCGTCTAGAGTGCTGTGGTAGCGTCTTAGGTGCTAATCGTATACCGTAATGGTACACCCCAACAAAACATCTCTAATTTTCAATCGCTATTTTCTCAATAATTACTAGGCTGTGCATGCTCCGAAGCAAATGGGAGATATTTCACATAGTCTATTATAACTCATAAAAATTTTAGACCGATCGGAGTCCATTAGACCTTAGGAGTCAGGCGAGGAAAAGAACCTGGAGTCAGGCGGGACCCACTTTTTATGTCCCATAGTGAAGGGAAAACCCTAACCTGGAGTCTGCCAGACTCCAGCAACCCCCGTGGGATAGACGCGTAAAACCCCTTGTGGTATTGTGAGACGAAGGTAACGAGCCCGTCCTCAATGAATACGTTGCGACGGCCCCCGCTGTCGGTATTGCAATGCCGAATGCTTAATAGCTCTGGCGCTCGAGCCGGCTGGCCACCACTCACATGAATAGCAATAGCAAGCTTCTCACGGAAATGCGCTACCCGTTGAAGGTATACGTCAATTGCTGCCATCCGTAGCCGACCGGCACTACTCTCGATAAATCGCTGCCGTACCGGGCCGTGCTGCCGTACCCGCCCGATTAGCCATTGCTCGCCGTCTACCGGCCATGGCGTACGGGTGTCTTTTAAGAAATTCCACCCGTGGGCTGTCTCGGTGGGGTCGTCATAAATTGCCTGCCATGGAATAGCTGGAACTAGCCTATTTTCGACGAATAATAGCTCATTGTGAAGAATCTGGCGTGCCGAGGTCGTAAGCCCGTGGATGAACCCACGGAAGTCACCTATTGAGAAATTGAATTGCTGGTAAAGTAGCTGGTCCTGATTCATCCAGCCGACGTGGCCCGTAGTGGTGCTATTGTAATGGATCTTTAAGCCGTACGTCCGTAGATCTAATAACCATTGAATTGGGCTATTGGTTCCACGGACCATGAATTGGCTTACCATCTCAGCCACCCACTCTCGAAATGATCGATGGGTCTGCCGAGCCTGGGTAAATTGAATGAATTGCGATGACTGCGTCGGTGGCTGAACTAGGCCATTTTCAAAATTGAAAAATTGATCATCCGATGTCTGAAATTGATCATCTGATGTCTGAAATTCAGGCGTATCGAGTGGACTTTCGGTATCCCAATCCCCTGCCATTTGATGCTCCGCTAGCTGATATAGCATTGCCTCAGCCGTGGAATCCAATTTTAATGCCTTGTGGACTACCATGAATCGTGCAATTTTAATAAGCTTCGATAAAATCGGAGGATAGCTCTCTGCTGTACGCCAGCCTGTCTCACCGCGACCGAGCACTGCCGTGGCACAAATCAGCGCGCTCTCATAGTCCTCGACCTTAATTCGATGATTCAGAAGCTCAATGCAAAAATTGAGACACGCTAGATCAATAGCAGCAAGCTGGAACGGAGAATCGGTGCTATTTTGCTGATTCGCTAGCGATTCGCTAGCAATTCGCTGCGTGGGATGATCCTCGGTGTCACTCTCTGAATGCTCGCTATTATCGCCTGAACTAGCCGTGGCTGAACTAGCCGTGGTTGAACTAGCCGTGGCTAGGCTGGCTGACCTAGCAATGCCTCCGCTAGGTGATGCGCCCGGCTGAGCTAGTTTCCAAAGCGAGTTCCACGCGGCCCGCTGGCGCCTAGTGAATTTGTAATTTGGACTAGCCCATTCATGCGACGCCTGCGTACGAGTGAAAAACATCAAAATTTGCTGCCACGGTATGGTATGTCTCTCGATATTATCGGCATCCATGTAAGCTTGCAATGGCTGGTGCGGCAGTCGGTCGCGCTCCGTACGTACGGCTTCGGTGCGAATTGTATGGCTAGTTTTCGTACAAATCAACTGGCTAATTCTCGCGACAGCCGCCATTGCATCCCATATAGCGCTTGCCGCCATTTCCGTCGGATCGCATGAATCGACCTCGGGTGCTCGGACGCAGTCAATAAGGTGCTGGGGGTCGATTCCACGGAGGTAGACGGCCCACCGCGTACGACGGAGCCATGGATTCGCGTCATCGCGCTCGCCAGCTTCAATTAGCTGGGGTAGCTCACTTTCCTCTTTGAAAGCTAGTTCGATTTCATCAATAAGCCGGTCGCCGACCTCGGTCGCGGGCATTGAATCGGTCTCGGCAATGGCCTCCGCCCCGAGCGTACGCACCCGAATGTAATGAGATCCTAGACCCTGGCTTAATGCGCGCTGGCATCGGACGACGCGCGTAAATTGCTGGATTTGCTGCTCGGCGACCGATAGACCCTGAGTGCGGCGACGGCCTCCGATATTGGTAGGTGCGACCCAGCCATGCTGTTTACGCCAATGGTAGCGCATCGTCGTAATAGAACGCGCGATAAATTGGCAAATTGGGTCCTTTTCACAATGGATGCCATCCGAAAACACTGGTAAATTCGGAATTGGCTGGTCTACGACCGTCGGGGGCTGCCATTCATCGCATTTATGCGCGCGGTCGGAGGTTTGAACAACGTGCGCAATTTGACGTGCCACGCGCATTGGAAGTCGATGATTTGCTAATTGAAGGTGTCGTAAGACCTCTCTCGGTCTCACAACGTATTCGCATGTCTTACACACGAAAACTGGGTACGTCGAAGGTTGGTGAAAGAATTGGTTTTGCATAATTATGGCGTAGAGATATATATCTTACAATAATGAATTGCATGAAATTTGACGAATGTCGAATGCTAACTTTGGGGTGAAATGGTGTGGAAAAGAAGTGAGATAATAGCTAGGAAGCTTCAAAACCCCCCTGAATGAATTGCTACCCCTCCTGATCATTATAGACTAGCATTATCGAGGTTGTTCTATTCGTCTAGAGTGCTGTGGTAGCGTCTTAGGTGCTAATCGTACACCGTAATGGTACACCCCAACAAAACATCTCTAATTTTTAATCGCTATTTTCTCAATCATTACTGGGCTATGCATGCTCCGAAGCAAATAGGAGATATTTCATATAGTCTATTATAACTCATAAAAATTTTAGACCGATCGGAGTTTATTAGACCTCAGTAGTCAGGCGAGGAAAAGAACCTGTAGTCAGGGTGGCCCCACTTTTTATGTCCCATAGTGAAGAGAAAGCCCTAACCTGTAGTCTGGCAGACTACAGCCACCCCCGTGGGATAGAAAGGGTGGCCCCACTTTTTATGTCCCATAGTGAAGAGAAAGCCCTAACCTGTAGTCTGGCAGACTACAGCCACCCCCGTGGGATAGGGTTGCAATATCATCCGCATTGCTGACATCCACTCTATGAGACGTGACCCGACGGGATGAGTCTTGCGTTTTCAGCTCGTCAATGAGGGCATCGACAGCTGATTTATTTGTGGAATATGTCAATGCTAGATGTGCCCCATGAGCGAACAGATCACGGGCGCAAGCTGCTCCAATGCTTTTGGCAAGTTGTCAGTGACAAGCATAATATGAATGAACGAGAAGGTTACCCTCCTGAGGCACCCGTAATCAAGGCAAGTCTTCCATTGAGGTCGTTGTTGAGAACCATGTCTGCTTTACTTGTCCCAGATGTGGAACGAAGACAGGGAAGAAAACTGAATAAGTATCGTTTTGTATGGCCAGCTTCGGCACCTTCGGGAAATGCGGCTACTCTATGAAAGCTTTTCGTAACCCTTTTTCTAAGCTATCCACCAATCATTGCCTTTTGTCAGCATGGGATTTGCCGTCTGTCCATTTCCCACCACTGGTACCCCCACCATAACCAGCGGCCCCAAAAACAAAGAATTGCGTGGGACGGCTGATGCTATGACCAATCGGCATTTCATGGAGTGACTTGTCGCCGGCTCGACTAATATCATACAAGTATTCTGCAATAGAACCTGCCACCATAATTCAAACGCCGTGTGCACGGAGACATGGTTCTAATGCCGATAAACTTGAGAAGAAAAATAGCCTCCCCCCTCCCTTCAACAAATCGTCTATTTACTCAGCTTGAGTGTCAAAGCGTCAAAACCGATGATTCGTGCCAAAAACACAATTTGTCGGCTATTGGGTGGACGGGTAGGAGTGGAGACTTGTTCAATATCAACTGGATAATTTCGGAGATAACAACGGTCGATAGCAAAAAAGAGACTTTGATTTGGATGGTATGTTCGTTGAATAAGAAACTTTAAGAAACTTATATAGATTGTTGGACCCCATGTGACCACCTGCAGTGTTCGCCTCACGTGAGGACGTTCCACCTCCGTCGCGTGTTCGCGTGGGGCGTGTTGCGCTGCTCCATGGGTGATTCATGCCACTGCCGCCGTCTCGCATTGCTGGTGGGCGTAGAGCGGCGGTCTGTGGTCGTGTCTAGGGATCCCTCTCCTGCCCTGCGGCCCGACGAGCCGCATGTGCCGTTGGGCCTCACCCGCCAGCGTTTCACCGTTTCACCGTTTCTACAGAGAACATGCCGCGCCTGGCTTCTACGACCCTTTCGCTGCCCGTCCGGGAAGGTCCTCTACGCCTTCGACCCGCCATGCTTCTGACTGCGGATGGCGTCTGCATCAGGGGAGCGGGTGTTATGTTCTCGCTGCGCCCGTCCTTGGCAGTCCAGTCGATATAAAACTTGCTCTCGCTGTCGGGAGCTGCAACGATACCGGCTGTCCACGTCCAAAATCCAAGCTCCCACCGCGGTGCCGTCTTCGCTTCCTGCTGCTCCTACTGTTCGTCCGTCGTTTACAGACGCCGCCCTTTCTGAACAGCGTGTGCTCTGTTCGGGCTGTGCGCGACCTTGGCAATCTGCTCGGTATAGGGTCTGTGATGACTGCCGCCATAAAGCTCGAATGCGGCGGCGGCGGCATCGTCCGCTGCCTGTACATGCTTCGGTTAACCCTGACGCGCAAGGGGAGCCCCCGCTTCCTTATATCCGTCAACCGCCTATTATTCCAGTGCAACCTGTATGGTGGAAACTCCTTGCCCAGGCTGCAGTCCGGCCCTTCTCTCAGGACTGGTCAAGGGACTACTCCTTCTGCGGTGTGCTCCTTCTTTCCACTGAGGCTGATGGCTGGTGCTGTCGGCGAGGCCGCAGACGCTTACCTCACCTACCACCATTCACGCCAGCTGTGCAGTCTCTCCTGGACCGGTATCAAGGCAGTGTGTCTGCCATGAGCCGTCGGCTCAATAACCTGTTTGCCTTCTCCGCCATCGGCACCACTGGCCAATTCGTTCGATTCCAAGGTCAAGCGAACGTGGTCCTAGAAGGCCGGATCTACCACCGTTTGCTGGATGTCGCGGATACGGGTCACAGCATGCACTGGTTTCTTTATGACGAGTCCGAACGAGGTCTACGGGCAAGGGATCATGACATCCCTAATGACATTCTACATGGGATACGCGAGTTTCTCGGTCTGGTTAATCCCTATGTGCGGACCTTGCGGCACGCCGTCAGTCAGGTCCCGGACCAAACAGTCGCCCTCGCTGTTGAGCTCTCTATCCCGCCTGCGGGTGGTGAGCTCGCTGCAGTTATCACTACGGAAAATCTCCGCCGCGTAGCCCCGCGACAGGTCGTCTTTTACAGAAAAGGTGGCCAGCAGCCACGGTTCGTTCCAACCCTGTCTTGCCAGTACGAGCCGCTGCAATATCCACTTCTCTTTCCACATGGCACGCGAGGTTGGGGCTTTCTCGACGAGTCCCGGAAAAACATACCTTGCACGCAGATCCAATGGTACCGCCACCTGTTCCTGGGCGAGCCACGCATGCGGATCTATGGCCGTTTGGCGTGTGAATATGCTGTGGACATGTTCTCGCGGACGGAGGAGGAGCGCCTGCACTATCTCAAACGGGGCCGACGCATGCAAGCTGCTGCCATGGATGAGGCTCCAAATCCTGACATCCCCGATCTCTTCGAGAACAAAATCCCTGCCGGTTTCATGGGGTCCCGGGCCTGGGCTTCGGACCAGGTGGCTGACTCCCTCGCGATCGCGCGACAGCTGGCCACGCCGTCACTGTTCCTCACCATGACGACAAACCCTAACTGGCCCGAGATTCAGTCCCAGTTGCTCCCAGGCCAACATTTCACAGACATCCCTGCGGTGGTGTGCCGTGCATTCCACGGACGACTCTGTGGGCTGAAGGCCTTTATGAGGGAGAAATTTGGAGGCCTCCTGTACGAGATATGCGTTACAGAGTTCCAGAAACGGGGTCTACCACACGCGCATCTGGTCGTTAAGCTCCAACATGAATTACCTTTGAGCCAACTAGATGGCTTCATCTGCGCCGAGTTACCAGATCCGGACGAGGACCCTGCCCTACATGCAGCGATCGGCAGATTCCACATGCACTCACAGAACCACTTGGACCGGTCCACGTCACGCTGCAACCGAGACGGCCGCTGCATTTACGAGTACCCTCAACCTATCAACAACCAGACTTACATGGATGATCTTGGTCGTGTCCATTACCGCCGACGCAAGCAGGAAGATCGATGGGTGACTCCTCATGTACCCGCCCTAGTGCACCTGCTCGACTGCCATATCTATGCGGACGTGTGCTCTACAGCGACGATCTTCCTTTACCTGTTTAAGTACCTCTTCAAAGGACCCGATCGGGCGCGCTTTGGTATTCGGGCCCTCCACGATGCCCGGGCAGACGGTGAGGACGACCAAATAGATGAGTTCAGAGACTATATGAACGCCCGTTACCTCTCTTCGTCCGAGGCTGTCTACCGCATCCTCAACTTCCATACTGTCTCCAAACGTCCTGGCGTCCGCTGCCTCTCTGTCCATCTGGAAGGCAAGAACTTAGGGAGGATGCACGATCGAAACCAACCGGGTTACTCCGAGATGAGCGACCTGTTGTGGTACTTCAAACGCCCATCCACAGAAACCTTCTCAGGCTTGAAGTATACCGAGTTCTTTAGCCTTTACTACCTAGAGACGGTGCCCCTGGATGGTCCACTACACAGAGGTCAGACCCTCATTGCTACTGTCACCACCGAAGAGGGACCATGCCAAAAGGTGTTGCGCCGTCGAGTCCGCCAGCCTATTGTTGTCACCCGACTTCAGACCGTCCCACTTCGTCTGAAGGAAACGTTTTACCTACGCGCACTGCTCCAGGTGCGGCCTGCGAACAGCTTCGAAGATGTCCGCACTGTCCGGGGGCACTGCTATCCCACATACCAGGAGGCTGCCACTGAGTTAGGACTCTTCCAGGATAACCACGAGGCCGTGTTCGCGATGAATGAAGCGATCACAGCCTACAGCCGCGCGTCCAGCTCCGCTTTCTCTTTGCCCAGCTTCTGTCTAACCTTCCATTTCCAGCTGTGGAACTATGGACCCGCTTCCAGGGCGATCTCAATGCTGACTATAGACTACGTCACCCTACGGCCCACGCCACAGACCTTGCCTTGCAGGACCTGGCACGCCCTCAGTGTGATCCATTACGAGCGGGGTCGGACGGCCCACTCGGCCTTTGGAATTCCTGTTCAGGAGTCTGACATGGGCTTGGTGTCTAAGGTCAGCCCCAAGTCAGGTCGTGCAGAGCTCCTACGCCAGGCCTCGCTCCTGATATGGGAGGAGCTGCCGATGGCGAAGAAGGCGGTCGTGGAGTGTGCAGACCAGCTCCTTCAAGATATCATGAGGAATGACCTGCCATTTGGAGGAAAACTCTTCATTGGACTAGGGGACTTTCGTCAGGTGGCACCAGTCGTCCGCGGAAGTTCTGGGCCTACAGCAACTCTCAACAGCTCTATCCGCACCTCCACGCTCTGGAACCACTTTAAGGTCCTGCGGCTGACTACCCCGGTCCGACAGGCCGGGGATCCGGTATACGCAAGATGGGTGGACCAGGTAGGAGATGGTGTACGCCCCTATGAGACAAGTGTGCCACTGCATCACTTGCAGCATCTTGACGACCTTGACGCTGCGGCAGACTTCCTCTTCCCACAAGATTCCGTCTCTACCTCCGCCGCTGCCGTCCAGCACGCATTCCTTAGCCCGTTTAACGCGCGCGTTGATCTTTTTAATAAGCTCATCTTAGAACGGTTACCGGGGCGTGCAGGTATTCCGATTTTTGCTAATGACTATTCCCTGTAACATGATTCTAATCGCTTGACGCAACTCACCCTTCACGCTCCTCTGGCTAACCTTGCACTGCGCCAGAAACCTATTACAGTCATGATACGATTAAAGAACTAGACGATTCCACCTTCAATCTCCCCACGGGTGCAGAGGCGGATCTTCTCTCGGTATTGAACGAGCCCGGAATCCCCCCGCATGAGCTCTCACTCAAAATTGGCGCCGTTGCTAGCGTGATGCGGAATCTCTCCATCGAGAAAAACTTGGTCAAAAACGTGAGGGTCCAGGTGGTTAATCTGCTACCAAATGTCGTGCAGGTACGGTTGCTGCAACGAGCATGCACGCCTGGCACTGAGTCGCCGACGTTCTACCTGCCACGGATCACATTCGAGTTTCGGCCTCACCGCGCGAATTGGACGGTGCAACGGCGGCAATTTCCGCTGCGTCTAGCTTATGCCACCACCTTCAACAGCTGCCAGGGACTCACCCTGGACCGGGTTGTGCTAGATCTCACCCTGCCCGTCTTCGCCCATGGCCAACTTTACACTAGCTTATCCCGCGTCCCCTCTGCCGTAGACATCCGTATTCTCCGAGACCCAAATGACATAGAGCAAGACACCATTAATGTCGTTTATCACGAATTGCTACTGCCTCTGTGACAGCAGATAATGGGGCGAAATTCGACCTTTATGCAGCCACCATGGCGACGTTCGAGATTCACATATATAGAACCTACGTTGAGAGCTTTTATTTAGTCCCATAACATCGATATTTCAAGAATGAAACTCCCTACCATCCTACTCGCCGCGCCCCGTAGCAGCGGCCGAAGGCCGCTGCCAACGCGACTCGTATAGAGGGAGTAGTTTTATTGGGGTTGCCTCACAATGCCCGTAGCCTCACGTGATATCTACACCGACATTACTGATGGCCTCTTCCTCCTACAACTGCCTCACGAGAGTCAGTTGCTTGCCTCTGCGGGTAGCTCGTCATCTCTCACGCAGTCAAGTCTTGATTTTGTTTCACGTCCTTCTCCAGCACCGATAGGCCTTGACTATATCGCTCTCCACCATGACGTTCAGCCAGTCTAGCAGTGCCACTCCTGCCCCGCTCGACTCCGCTTGGCCGCCGGCCCACATTTGGGAAACCATGGGTGCGGCAGACCGTGCCAGCTGGCTAGGACAGATACAGAGAGACCAGGCTAGGCGCCTTGAATTGGATGTAGCGGAGACCGATCTCCGCCACAGAAGGCCTCGTGTGGACCTGCAAGATGACGATAATCTCGAAGAAAACCGTGAGCCACTCCCCGAAGTCAAACCACTCATCGACATATTTCCGGGTGTCTCCGCCGCCCTTCTTACTCGCGTCTTTGAGAAGAAGTTGAAGGCGACTGAACTCATACGCTTCAAAGAGAAGTCAGTCACCGAGCTAGATCAGGAGGACAGAGTCTTCGAGATGACCGAGTTGGGAGGCACAGTAGGCTTCAAGAAGGCAGCAGCGTCGCTTAAGGACTGGGGCCCCAACCCTCAAATATGGACGACCTGCTTTCTTGCCTATCTGGCCGTTGTAGGATATCTCTTCGGCGAAAAACATCCTAAAGCAGTTCCCAATCTACTCAAGTTTATGAGGCAGATCCTGGACTTCGCTCAGACTTATCAGTGGTCGGAAGCAGTCCTCCCACTTGCCCTTAATTTCCACCAATACATGATGGATAAAGGAGAGTTATCGACGGACAACTACCTGGTCACAGGCCCATTTCGCGAGAAATACCTCCGCCACAATCTCACCCTGTCTGCGAAGTCACCAACAAACCCTCCAACCCGGCCTCGTCAAGCTAGGAATACCAGATCTTCGAATAATGAGACAGAAGTTTGCGATAAGTTCAATACGACAGGGTGCACCTGGGAAGGCTGTAAGAGACGTCATGAGTGCACAGCATGTGGCCTAAGCGAGCATGGCGCCTCCTCCTGCCGCAAGAAGAAATAGCAAGTGACAGCCCTTGAGAACTGCACTAGTGACACCGACAACGTTGTTCTCAATCCCCTATCCCTAAGCCTCATACCACAGGGGCAACCACCCAGACCAAACACTGCTGTTCAATACCCTGTTTTCAACCCAGAGCTCCCAAGGCTACAGTCCTCTCCGTCGCCACTGCATGCGAAAGGCTGGAGCAATCTTCTACGCTACTACCCGGGCGATCTCGGGTCCACTATCGCTGGCATTCTGACCTACGGTGTTCAGGTCGGCTATAGGGGCAAGAAGCAGTTTCGCTATTCCTCCAACCATCACATACATGAACCCGGCATGATCACGGCCAAACTAGCAGAGGATCTCAGCCTCGGTCGTGTTAGACTAGCCTCTAGGCCCTCCTTCGTTTCACCGCTTGGGTTAGTCCCTAAGCACGACGGGGGATGGCGCCGCATCCATGATCTATCCTGGCCCCCTGGACAGGGCCTTAACCAGGGCATACCGGACTCCTGGTCAGCTATCGAATACATGACAATCGACGACATATACGAGCAGGTCATACAAGCTGGCCCAGGTTGCACAATAATCAAGAGGGATATCAAGGACGCCTTCCGAATAGTCCCCGTTGCCGAGGATAACCAGCACCTCCTTGCCTTCCAGTGGACCGATTCCACTTATGTCGAATGCTGCCTCCCCTTTGGCCTCGCAACGGCCCCGTTTCTCTTCAACCTCTTCGCCGAGGCACTCCATTGGATACTCCAATGCCTCCTCCCTGCATTCCATATCAATCATTACCTAGACGACTTCATCACAATTACTCAGTCTCCCTCAGTGTCCGACCCCACGGGTCTTTTTGATGAGGTTTATAACAGAGTCACCGACTATCTACGTATTCCTCGCAATACACAAAAGGACCAGCAAGGGACCTGTGTTACAGTCCTAGGTATCCAGATCGACTCTATTGCAATGGAAGCTCGTCTGCCGCCAGAAAAGTTGTGCCGCGCCACATTGGACGCCGCAGCTGCCCTGAACGCAGCGAGTCTCTCCGTCAAGCAAGCAGAGCGCCTCACAGGCTTATTAGCCTTTTGTTCAAGAGTTGTCCGACTTGGAAGAACAAGATTACAGTCTCTATACACCTTCCAAGCCGCTTTCCCACATGGGAGTAGTGCGCGCCGCCGTATCCCTTACGAGATACGTGACGATTTGGAATGGTGGAGGGACTCCTTGTCTCTCTTCAACGGCGTACTCCTAATTGACCCCTGCCGCCGCCCCATCACGCATCTCTACACAGATGCCTCTAGTATAGGCCAGGGGCTCTTCTTCTTCTCATCCCAGTCTACATTAGACTGCTGGCTGGCCCATTGTCACCAGCTTCATCCAAGCAATGCTGCCACATTGGCCCTTGCTGAAGACGCACATGCGCACATCAATACCAACGAAGTAGACGCTATTCTACAAGGCTTCCTACTCTTCAGCCACCATTGGCTCCATCATACTCTCGTTATCCACACGGATAGCTCCACAGCGCACACGGGACTCAAGAAAGGCTTTCTTCATGGTCCGCCTAACGCACCTCTGAAGAACCTGCTTATCCTAGCGGCAGCGAGAGACATCCACATCGTGCCACACTGGCTCCCCTCCGGCGAAAATACATTAGCAGACGCGCTCTCACGTAACAAACTTGAAGACATTGCTAACATTTGTCCCCATTGGCAGGACCTCTCGGTATTGAACCGCCCGCGTGGTTCTCTTCACGAGCTCCTCAGCTCAATGCCGGCCACCTAAAACTGCTCTGGAACGGACTCAGTGCTCTGGAACGAACTCAGCGCCAACACACGTTCCGTTTACCTCTCCGTTCAGCGCAGCTACGAAAAGCACTGCGCGCTACAAAATTTCTCCGCATGGCCAGTGTCAAGACATTCATTAACCTCATGGCTAAGCTCACGACTCCTTGGTAACGCCAGCCAAAAGGCCGTCAAGCCTGACACCGCACTCGCCGACCTAGCCGCTCTCCGAGCCTACCATATCGATAATTTCCTTGACGATAAACTCTTCGATAACAAGCACTTTCGACGTCTCATAGACGGTGCGCGAAGACTCAACCCCATCACAAAAGTACGGGTCAGAAAACCTATTTCGCGTGACACTATTACGAAACTATCTGCGGGCCTCGCCGCACTCCCGTCACGGCCCTTGGAGATGTCTGCGAACCTTCTAGACGACTTAAACTTCGCAACCGCGTGCCGGGTAGCATTTGCTGGATTCCTCCGCCTCGGAGAATTCACCTACACGACTGAAGACCTGAGCACACATTCTATCTTCTCAGCCACACAGTTAACTCGCTCCGAGACCGCCGCCACGAAGGGGTCCAAATTATTCTTGCAAAGACGGGAGACAGCGCTTGCCCAGTTGATGCCCTTCAGAAGCTGTTACTTGTCGATCCCAGAGGGCCCGACGCCCCCTTGTTCTCCTTCCACAGAAGACCATTCAGTCGCAACAACTTCCTCTCGACCTTATCTACTAAGCTAAGAGCGCTTGGACTACGGACAGAGGGCTACTCCGGTCACAGTTTTCGGAAGGGCGCAGCTCAGCATGCGCACGATAGTGGGATACTCGACGACCAGATTCAGATGCTAGGGAGATGGACCTCAGAGTCCTTCAGGTTGTATTTTACGGCGAACACGTCAGTTTTGTACAAGCTCAATCACCAGTTCCAGACAGGCTCGCCGGCCCCGCTGTCTCTGCTGCTTCACCACCGTCCCCTCCACCATCCTAGTTTGGCCGGGTCATTTGGGCCCTATCTGACGCTACGGTCTACGACCGCAGCGACAGGTGACCCGTTATGGCCAAACTACACTCTTCTTGCTCCTCTTGACTGCGTGAGGTCACCAATAAAGGGAGTAGTTTTATTGGGGTTGCCTCACAATGCCCGTAGCCTCACGTGATATCTACACCGACATTACTGATGGCCTCTTCCTCCTACAACTGCCTCACGAGAGTCAGTTGCTTGCCTCTGCGGGTAGCTCGTCATCTCTCACGCAGTCAAGTCTTGATTTTGTCCCTCCCGCCTTCCCTCTGTATATAGAATCCACTACAATACAGACATATTGCCTCCCTACAAGGGAGCGCGAACGGGCCCTATCTGACGCTACGGTCTACGACCGCAGCGACAGGTGACCCGTTATGGCCAAACTACACTCTTCTTGCTCCTCTTGACTGCGTGAGGTCACCAATAAAACGGGAAAATTAACGCAAGCTGTGTACGTAAATTGACCCGTTTTACGCCCTCAGTTGAAAAGCTTAACCTCGCCTAGGAACAACATTATTCTCGCCACTGAAATGATTTTTTGTGCTACAGATATTGGTCAAAAGTATTTACCTACTACCCCACTTCAATTTTGACCGGCAACCAACGCACCATTTTCTTTTTCTTTTTAACACCACCCCTACGCATCCGATTCTAATGGAAATAGGCCCAAAACGTAGGAAAAAGGCAGAATTAAGCCATGAGCAAAGGTCAGCTATTATCTATGCTTACAAGAATGGTATTTCGCAGTCAAAACTAGCTGATAATTTTAGCTGCACCCGCAAGACTATTTACAATACGCTTAAGCGCTTCGAGGAGCATGAATAGACCCGGTCCCTTTCTCGAACCGGCCGTCCTTCGAAGCTAGACTCTCGAGCTTGCTCATTTCTCTATTTACAAGCGCGCCGGCACCCGTTTTGGACCTATAGACAGCTTAGTGCTGCGACACCCGGTCATCCGTCTCGGTCCACTATACAGCGAGTTTTAAAGCAATACGGTCTCGGAAAACGGCGTTCAAAAAGGAAGATACCAATTAAGCCCTCTCTTGCAAGGAAACCGCTAAGATTTGCGCGAAAATGGCGGCGTGAAAGCTTTCAATCGTGGATCTTCTCGGACGAGTGTTCGGTGCAGCGAACCTCGAATTTGGACCACAATGGTGCTTTCGTACGGACTCCGAGGGTCTTCGCCGCAACCTTGTGAATGCTAAGGCTCACGTAAAAGACATTTCACAACTGGTTTGGGCTGGAATTTGGCTCGAAGGTCGGACAGACCTAATTATTATGGAAAGAGACGAAGAATCGCGTTCGGGGAGGGGTTATACTTCAAAATCGTACATTGCAACGCTCGAAAAAGGTCTGATGCCAATCTACACCCCTAGTTTAGTATTTCAGCAAGATAACGCAAAGATTCATCTAGCGGTGGCGACGCAAAAGTGGTTTGAAACACATGGAGTATACGTCGAGGATTGGCCTGCGCACTCACCCGGTTTGAACCCAATTGAACCGGTATGGCGCTGGTTAAAAGTGAAGCTTTTTGCATTATTTCCGGAGCTTATTGGCATGGGAAGGTCGGAGGTAGACTGGCGTTATTTTAGAAAATGCCTGGTGGAAGCTTGGAAGGCATTAGATCAGGCAAAGATAGATGCGCTAATATTGAGCATGGGAAGACGTTTGAAGGCAGTACGGAAGGCTAAGGGGTATTGTACACAATATTAAGCGAAAATTTTATTGTGCTATTACAGTCAACTCTCGCTTATACCACAGCATACTATCCAAGCCAAATTACGTGGTATAATTGAGTTGTGTTTTGGTGAGAGGATGACATAATATTTGACAAGCTAACTCTAAGCCCTAATACCTATTTAGTCTTCCATCCCATCATCTGATCCAAAGTCACCTGACGTTTCTCATCAATCTGAATCCTGCCAAAGTCGCTGATTAAGCTCTCAATTTGTCTAATATGGTCCGAGGTACCCTTTTCTTTGCTACAAATCCATAGTAGGATATCCTGGAGGCTGTCCAATATAGCAGAATTAGACAGAAGCTCAGGTGGGGGCCCATCAATGTCAATATCCTGAATTTCTGAGGTTGTTGGGGCAATATATATATCTTGCTCATTGGTCTCATCTCGCCCTTCAGTCCCATCTTCTAACATGTCTTCGTCCGAAGGGTTCAAAAACTCGTCAAATGGCACAATATCTTTATCACCAAGCTTATCAATTGCTTGATTATATAGACTTTCAATCTCATCACTCAATCCGGGCTCGGAAAATAGTGCAGACTCAGGTGCGGACTCGGGCGCGGACTCAGGTATAGGTATAGACTTTGGACTAATCAAAGTACTTTGTTTAAAGCAATTGATAATCGTTTGGTCTGATACACTTGTTCTCCAAACTTGCGTTACCCAGGTAACAGTATAATAAATGCTCATTCTTTGTTTTGGGTCTATCCCACGATCAAGAAAAGCAATCATATAGCGCATCCATTTCTTCCGATAATGGTGCTTCAAGTTTTGGATAATACCTTGGTCCAAGGGTTGATAAATTGAAGTTGCGTTTGCTGGCAAAAAAACAACCGTAATCCGGGGTGGTGGTGGCGCTCGCTGGAGTCCAATAACATGTGGTGAAGCATTGTCTAAAAGGAGCAAAGCTTTCTTATCTAAGGGAATACGCCCATAGAAAGATCGCAACCAGTCCTCCATAATGTCATGACGCATCCATGCTGCCTTGTTGTGACGCCAAACACATCCCAGAGCTCGGAAATTAACCCCCCGGAGTGCGCGAGGGGTTTTTGCTGTGCCAATCAACCATAAAGGGACTCGATCGGAACCATCCGCATTTGATGCAACAACAATAGTGATTCGTGTTTTATCAAGCTTTTTGCCAGCAATTTTTCCCTTTGAAAGACCACCATTTGGCATACGTCGCCAAAATAGGCCAGTTTCATCCATATTGTAGATTTCGGACGGTTTGAATTGATTGCAAATCGATTTGGTGCTTTTGATCTGATCATGTACCGAGGATGGGACTGAGGCAGCTTCTCCGTGGAAAGTATGATATTGAAGAGAGTGGCGTTGTTTGAAGCGAGTTAACCAACCCTCAGAGAATTGAGGTTTGGTCCGATCTTTGTATTCCGGTATTTGTCTCCAAAGCTCAGCTGCTTTAGTTTGGATCAAAGGGCCATTTATTGGTATTCCATTGCCAATATGGTTATCTGCCCAGTCATATAGCTTTTGGTCCAATAATGGCCAATGAGAGGATGAAGATCGTTTGTTTGCCCCTGCAGGGCCCGTATCAAGATAATTGTATTTGGATGAAAGGATCCTTGATATGGTTGACCGGTCAATCACTTGTTTGAATTGGTCCTCAAACCACTTAGCACATGCAGTCTGCGTGGGCTTTGGGCTAGTATTAGACCAAAATGCCCGTAGTGCCTGTTTCTGCGCGTCTGATATACCCAATTTGGTACGCTTTGGTCCCATTCTGACGCGCTTGGGTGGGGTCGGGAGGGTAGGAGAGCTTGTAGATTGATGCATTCTGATTGGTTGATTGCGCTGACTAAGCAGATTTGAGAGTAAGAAAGTGTGGTAAAACAAAATGTGTTATATTCTGTCAATTTATATGGAAAAAACTGGAATGAAGGGGCCATCCAAGCAAGGGATGTGTTATTATCAAGAATGTGCAATATCCCACCGTGGTATAAGCGAGAGTTGACTGTATTAAGCATCCCCAATTTTTAATTATAGCATTATAGGCCATAAAATGGTGGTGCTATATACAGTGCAAGTGATATATATATTTTGAGAGGGGACCCGAAAAAGTGGAGTGGGAGATACTTTTGAACGCCCATGGGTAGACAGGATAATAGCTTCTTCCCTTACCCAAAGAAAATTCATCATGGAGATTTGTGATTGTGTCCATTCCAAATGCTCCCTATCTCGTTCCTTCACAGCATTACTCTGGGCAGCACTTCGAACTGTCATTTAGAATGTTTCGTCGGCTCAGTCCGCGTACTCTGCTAGTGACTACGTAAGTCACATATGGGGAAACGCAAGAGGGAAAAGATAGCCACTAGAGATCCGAAAATAGCCTGGCCTACAGCTTCATAACACCTGATCTTGTAGCACGGGAAGTGAGCCTTACTGTCAAAAACGTCAAAGGAGGGTTGAAAAGCGTGGACGGAGCTGGCAATATAGCCTCCAACGCAGAGAAGAACCAACCCAGGGCAAATTGGATGCAGCCGAAGTAATCCAGCACGTGGTTCTTCTTTAGATCCTGCTACACCGTATCAGTGAAATTGAGAACACGTCCTTCCTCAACATGGAATGGGTTTTTCGTATACTCAAGTTCTGGGTCGGGACCTTCGACCTATGGCGATATCTAAGAGCAAGTACCGATAAGCTGTTACTTTTTGTCTAAGATGTGATCTACTGGGAAGGAAGAACAGGAAAGGCGATCCCTCTGGATGATGCTAAAGAAAAGGAGAAACTAAGAAAATATCCCAAGCTCAGGGAGAAAGCAACGAGAGTCAGGTGTTCGACTTGCTCAGTCATAATTTACGAGATTACTTACAAGACTAAGTAATTCTGTGTGCAAAGACAAAAATGACTCAGTATGTAGAGAATTTGGTTGACAGCCTGAATGGACTAAGGACTGGTACTATGTTCTAACCTTTGCCCCGCATGAAAGACCAAAGCTGCTGTTGCTAGCTCAATGCTCATATATTGAGAAGTGCCCCCTTAACCTTCTCACCGTCCAACTGTATCTTGAGCAGTTTGTTCTCATTGCAAGCATACATAGCGCCTTTTTCCCCGAAACAAAAGTTAGAAACCCCACCGGGTATATTAATAGTGCCAATCAACACACCACTAGGGTCCCAGACCTCGATGCCGTCAGTACAACCAGCATAGACATTGCCATGAGTATCGCATTTGATTCCGTCCGGTACTTTTCCCGGGGCATAAGCGAAAACCCGGCGATTTGTCAAGAATGGTTCAGAGCAGCCTTTTTTAAGGACAACATCGAATGCATAGATGTGTGAAGGACCGGACTGGTGCAGCGGCACTGATGCCGAGCCGTGGATTGCACCTGTATCTGTCACGTACAGAGTGTCGAGTTCCGGTGAAAAGCATAAGCCATTTGGTCGAGCAAATCCGTCTGCAACAGCTCGGACAGATCCCTTCCTAGGATCGTAGCGGTATACGTGGTTTGGCAACTGCGGCGGAGGTCGAATGCCCTGATGAAAGCCATATGGAGGGTCTGTAAACCAAATAGATCGGTCATGGGGATGGACGATCACGTCGTTGACAGAATTGAACGGGATTCCATGGAACGATTCGATCACAGTTTCAAAGACTGTATCGCCACTGGCAACGGATGGAACCGCAAGTTTGATAATCCCCGATGGATCTTTTGGGTCCCTCGAGCCCTGTGCGCAAAGAAGAATGTTTTCCGAGTCAAAATTTACACCACCGTTTAGCATTGCACCGGTGATACTTGGGAATGTGATATTCTCGACTTCGGTCACGTGTGATCCGGTGGCGAGATTTGGCTCAGGATCGTAGACCCTGGTGAGCTTGACAATCTTGTTGGCAGTTGTTGGGTTCGCTTGGTCGGAAGAAGTGGCCAACTGATTGGAAGTCACGAAGACGCTGCGTGAGGGTGCATGGTAAATGCACGCTTCATGGTAAAGAGGTAAATCACCTCCATCCGCCAGAATGGAAACTTGAGGGTTGGCACCTAAAATCTTGTCGAAATTTGAGGGTTGATGTTTATGAAAGTTGACTTGGAAGTTGGCCATAGCGAACAACCTTGGCGGTGATCCAGAGTACTCTCAATGTTTTGCACTAAAATTATTGAAATCGTTCCTCTCATGTATGCAGAATTCAACAGCGTAATCATTATTATGACCCGAGCGGCTATGCATATGTTTGGCTAACACTAGGTAAAAAAAAAACCAAAACCTCGAGTTGGGCTGAAACTCAAATCTATAAGCATTAGCCGATTGTTTGGAACAACTCAATTGCCGACATACATTATGCATCCAAATCGGTAACCGATAGGCAATGCTCAACTTACCCCGCATCTTAGTACTGGCAGTGATATGTGCGTGAAGCCTATCTCCTGAATCCATCCATAGGCTTAAAAAGGCTTGATTTATAGCCCTAGGTGCGAGGAACTACCTGATCTCCTCGGTCTCTCCGCATAAGTGACCTTTTCAGAGCAGTTGGCAGGGTAAATGCATAGCGATTTAGAATCTATCGGTAAAGGCTCTGATTCTCAGGGGTTGCTCTGCCCATCTTAACAATACCGTGGTATTTTGCTGTTTCGGCAATTGAGGGTCATTGGTGCGAAGTTATTAATGGCTTGATGCCCCAGACTTTTAACACCATTGTGGCTTGTATGCCACACTCCAGACCCGAACGTCTGCAAAGTTGGTTTTCTGCCACAATATCTTGTCGGTCGAAACAATATTGCCGAAGGGTACATTGAACCATGGTCTAAGCAAAGTTTGACGCCACCCCCGATATTGCTGGCCTGTGAAATGAGTCTAGAACATCCAAAGAATCCGGGAGATTTATTGGTCCCCGACTCTTACCTCCTATTCAACCCAGTTCAGTTAATTACCGATATAATGAGGTCTAGTGACCCGCTATCGGTGGCTGAAATGATAGCATTTGGCTCTAAACCTACATATGGCCACTCTGTGGGGAATTCAGTTATCTGTGCGGTTAGTGTCTAAGGCGAAGGTCTGCGCCCTGCTCGTATAGTATAGGGCTTCAGTTTGAATTTTGGACCTCAACGGGCCCAAACAACCCATGTGACCAAAAACTTATTTCCCTTAACAGGACATTATATTAGGATGAACCTTGCTCTCTCTTGCATGTAATATTTGTGTTTACATTCCTCTGCATTTTACTTTAAGGCAGTTCACTAAGCTGCTACGTTCCGCGACGAAGTTTTAGTGACTTTCTCTTTGTTGTATTTAACAATTTGTGCTATACACTGCGTAACTCGCACCCCAGCTACAGCATGAAACTACAAGGAAATAACCTCTTTGCTGCCGTGACGGCGTTGACGGCGCTTGGTTTCATGCAGATTGGGTAAGTCGATAAGAGCTTGGCTTTGCAGGTTTCAATAGACGTGATTGACCAGATATAGGTATGACAATGGCCTCATGGGAGGCCTCGTGAACCAACGTGCCTTCAATGAGACATTCGATTCGCCTAATCCAACCATGGTTGGCCTTATTGTTTCTATCATGGAGGTCGGTGCATTTTTTGGGAGTATATGTACTGCGTTCGTAGGCGAAAGCTTGGGACGCAAGAAAAGTATTGCTATTGGCGTCGTCACCCTGATCGTCGGATCAGTTCTACAAGCTACAGCTTATCATCGAGCGCACCTCATCGTCGGGCGGGTTGTCTCTGGCATTGGTCTTGGCATGGTGAACTCGACAGTCCCAGTAATGCAGGCCGAGTTTGCTCCGAAGGCTTCGCGAGGATTGTGTATGTGCTACCGTCTGCCAAATGCCGCGATACTGAATACTAACACGGAACAGATGTCTGTATGCAAATATCCACCCTTAATTTTGGAATCCTCTTAGTGTATTGGATTGATTACGGCTTCTCCGCACAAACCGCTAGCTACTCCTGGCGTGTACCCGTTATCCTCCAGTGCGCATTTCTTCTCCCTATGCTTGTACTACTGCTCCTTGTGGACGAGACCCCGCGGTGGCTTGCAGCCCATGACTGCCATGACCAAGCATTGGATGTCCTTCGCCGGTTAAATCATGGAAAGATACCCGACTCTGATATTCTAGCCCTCCATGAAGATATCATTCGCACTGTTGCCGTTGAAAAGGCTATCGGAGCTGGATCTTGGAAAGACCTTCTCAAGAATGATAAGATCCAGAGTCAGAAGCGATTCTTTATTGCATGTGCCATTCAGATATTCCAGCAACTAGGCGGAATCAACGCCATCATTTACTACTCTGGGACATTGTTTGAAAAGTCTGTTGGGTTTTCAGCGCATATGTCTAGCTTGATGTCGGGCTTTCTGCAAACATGGTTCTTTATCGCCTCCTTCATTCCATGGTTCCTAATTGATCGCATCGGCCGCCGTCCATTATTGTTATCAATGGTTTCAGTCATGGCTGCTGTAATGGTTGCGCAGACGGCTCTCATTTACCAGGTTCAGAATAGTACGGCCATCGCTCACCAGAGTGGTATTGCAGCAGCAGCAATGCTTTTTATATTCCAAGGAGCGTTCACTATTGGTTTTCAAGCAACTGTTTGGGTAAGTTTACATCTAACGGAGTGACTGTTCTGGCTAACTAGACCCACCAGGTCTATCCATCAGAAATCCTACCTCTACGGCTACGGCAACGTGGCTCGTCAATAAGTACAGCCGCGAATTGGATTTGCAATTATCTTATTGTACAGATAACGCCACCAGCAATCAGCAACATTGGCTGGAAAACGTACATTATATTCGCTGTATTGAATACTCTCTGGGTCCCCATCATCTATCTCTTCTTTCCAGAGACCAAGGGTCAGAAAATGTTTCATGATTTCTGAACCAATGTTAACGAAACTCTAGGCCTTCAGCTTGAAGATGTTGACAGACTCTTCGCAGGTGATGACGAGCATGTGGCAGTGGAATTGTTCACTGCCAAACCTGCTATAGAGCACGCTGAAATGGCGGGGAAAGAAGTGGCTTAGCTTACAAGGTAGGTACCCGTCACATGTGGATAACAGGAACCTCTGTTCTTATATACTCACTATCGTTTTGTGTGTCTGGCCGTAGGCTTCAGTTTTTCGTGTTCAAAGCTCGGAACGGTTTTATGTTACTTGTCTATGCAGTCAGTTCGTCTTAACAATTTGCCGTCCATGTCAGATGCGCAATATGTGTATTGAAGGTTCCCTACAAATAGGCCAGGCTAAATGCATCAACCTGCCTTGGCAGCAATCTAGCTGCCTAAGGCTAGCCTCGCTGTTTGCTCCAGGGCCTTTTTCCAGGTGGATTCTTCCTTCTTCGATAGTTAGTCACAGAACCAAGATATTTTCTCCCATCAGTTTCGCTGTTTACATGGCGGGCCTGGCAGTTTGGGATCGATTCGATTTGCTAAACTTCACACCCAGGGCCTGTAAAGCTCGTCCTCTATAGGCTGATCAAATAGCTTTGATTTTTGCTGTGTGTAGTCCACTTTATAACCAACATGTTTACGGTAATAATGTACCCGAATTGAGACTTGAGCCCTAACAATGCCCAAAGTGGTGAAACTTTGAAAATATATCTGTTATTGCACACTGTCTGAGAGGGAACACCAAAATATGGCACGTGTTCGCTGCTCCGCAAGCACCTACCGTCTGATGCATCCTAATCGAGCTCTGTGTAATTATCAGTCCACTTCTATGGATGTCTGGTCAGGGGGCAGACGTTACAAAACAGCCTTTTTCCGAAGTCATTGAATTGTTATAGCTGCAACATCGGAAATTCGGGGATAGTTGCCATGGAATGCACAATAGCTTTAACTCGCTGGAGAGCTGTAGTACATTAAGAAAGATGGTGTAGCTAATTAGAAATATACAGCATAGAAGAAACAGAGTGATTGGGAGCGAAAGCGCGCTACGGGTAGCGATCTCAGCAGAACGGAGACAAATGCCAACAATATCTCCTCGGTCTGCTTCACTTGGTCAATTAGCCATATTCGCTCTGGTGCAAGCAATATAGACGTAAGGTGCAATAAAGGATGTAGGCAATTTGAGAACTCAAAGTTATCTATACGTACAGTACATGGAAGTACTAATTGTGGAATATCTAACCAGCCCTACCACAAGGACTACAGGGTGGTCAAAATTTTACTGTCACGCCTTCTCGAAGAATACCCAACAGTCCTTTATTGTCAGAGTTCTGGGGTATTCCCTCAGCCCGGCTCACGCACACATAATACAGTAGCCGATGCAGCGCTTTATCGGCAAATGAACATATCTTGCGCCACCGCTTGAAAAGTACTATTATCTTATTATCCCGCCCCGTAAAATCCCAATCAAATTATACTCCTTGCTCGAAAGGCCGCACTCTTCGCTCACTTTTCCTAGCCCTGCTTTTGTTTACGACGAACTAATTACAATCTTCGGTACGTTTAAGCACCGTGCAGGCTGGTTAATGGGTATTGGTAATTAAAGACCTCTTTTGTTCGTAAACAAAAGACATTATCTAACAGTTTAAAGAGGCAAAATGTGCTTGAATATACCGTGGAATCCATCCGACGCGTGGCAGTACTTGAGAGACATAGCCAATGGATCCCACGATTGTCCTGAAGCACCATCAAGTGCCCAGAGGGCTCGGATAGCCTATTTGCAATTATCGAATACCACCCTGGCGGACACCGTTGATCTTGAAGAGGCATACACTGGTCTTAAGAAGTATAGGCTTGTCCAAAACGGTACTTTAGACGCTGAAACTGTGCTGTGCCTGGTTCAACTTTACGCAAGCCGCTTCCACAGCTATTTTCCAGTGGTCCCGAAAGGCAACTTCGACCCTCACACTCTAAATGAATTTGCGTCAGCTGAAAAGTACCTCTTCACCGCTGTCCTCACAATTTCTTCGAAATCTCTCGACAATATGCAACACATCCACGAGAGCTGTTGCGAGTACATGCGAGAACTTCTTTCCGAGATTTCTTTTGGGGCAGATTGTGATATTGATGCAGTTGAAGCATTGCTTCTTCTAGCTCAATGGGAGCCTCCCGGCCTCCTTGCACGCGTTGGGTACATTGGAAACGGAGAGGAGGATCGAGCTGCGTGGATGCACGTTGGACTTGCTTTGCGTGCGGCGCAATTTCTAGAACTAGAGCGCGCATTTGTTCCAGGTGAGTCTGCCGAGCCCTCTGAAAGAGGCTCTCGACAGAGGCTTACCTGGATCGGCTGCTATATGTCGGATAGATTGTTGTCAACCCGCCTTGGGCGCTCATTTTCGCCTGGCAGTCCTGGTAGTACAGTAGGTTCGGTTTATCATGAGTTTTCCTTACTCCAACCTACCAATCCAGAAGAAGACGCCCAAGGAAAGATTTTTCAGGCACATCTTGAGCTCATTCAAATGCACAGCAATTTCCATATGTTTAGAAACTCGGATATCTGCACAACTGACCACGCGACAATGGATCAAGATCATTTGAAATCTGTGGAGGAACTCTTGGTGGCCATGTCGAACTGGCACCGGATTTGGGGTATCCTAGCATGTGAGGAAGTGATGATAACCTTTTGGACAACCACGGTTTGCTGCTGATTATAGAATAGGTTCTATACACCTAAAAGCAACACTTCAGATGGCCTATGAATATTTACGTTTTGACGTCAATGCCTTAGCTGTCAAATCTGAAATGCGCCGAGCGAAGTCGTCTGACTTGTACATTGGCTGCCATGACGATCAGGATATATCCATCAACAATGCAACCGGAACCCGTGACTTTCCTTTTATGCATGATGCTATTGACGCCGCGAAAATGTACTTGAATATTCTTGCAAATTATGTTGATCCTGAAGAACACTTGAAGTTCATGCCATTAAGATATTACTTGTGAGCCTGGCCCCCTGCTATTGAGTCTTCTGCTAATTTATTTGCAGCCATGGTATACATGTGGCTTCCTTCCTCTGCAAGGTAACCGTCAAGATTATTTCAGGTGGCCAAGTTCTAACGTAAGTGCCAGATGCTTTCCATGAGATTTATGATGATGGAAGAGAAGGTTGCAGTTGGAGAGCTGCTACGTCGAACAAAGCTATGCTTTGAGCGGTCAAGCTCCGGGCCCTATGATGTAGGATCCCGATATGCTCGTCTCTTGATGCTTCTAATCCTGCCACAACTGCCTCATTCGACTTCATCACAAATCTCGGGCTGAACATGAGACCATAGATTATAGGATCCACCAAGATCCTATGTCACCCTCCTTTCATACCTTCGACTCCAATGGAAGTTCCTGGTTTAACATGAGCGAGCAGTACTACTAATTCGATTTCCAGCGGTCACCTGTCTAACCCTACACACTAGGGTCTTGTTATTGGGGTTATATAGCTTACTTCTTTCACTATTACTGGCCTAGTTCGTTTATCGTTTCTGACTTTAACAATTTTTATTCAAATTACCGTTATTACACAATGTCAATGAAGAGGTCCTTGCCGCACAGTGCACCAGAGTAGGCCACTGCTAATTCCTCCCTAATGCTTGAAGTCCGTTTGCCGTGACCTACGGTTAAAACTTGGATACTCGGCCTACACTGCTTATAAAGTGACTAAATTTACCCAAACATATTTGCAATGTCATCTGCATTGCTAACATTCACTCTATGAGACGTGACCTGACGGGATGGGTCATACGTTTTCAGCTCAGCAATAAGGGCTTCGGTGGTCGATTCATTGGTGGAATAGGTCAATGCGAGATGAGATGTTCTCCATGGGCAAATAGATCACGAACGTAACTGCTGGAATACTTTTTTGGAACACGTTACGTACGAGCATCATATAACCGTATAAGGACACCTAACGTGACTGACCACCGTGTAGGCCACGAAACCCGAGTTTTTAAATTTAGATGCCTTTATCTCTACCATAGCGCTAACTAATCAATAAATCAACCTATCTCGGTCAAACTGGACATACATCTCTTCTATGTCCCTGAACTTTGCGTAAACCGCACCTTGGTAATGCTTCTGTTCCCGGCTGTAAAGGCTGCAAAGGCCTTCGGTAGATGGTATCTACTTTTTAGGTCGAGTGCCCTTTTCCTTCTGCTTCTCATTTGCGACCTGTAAATCGCTTACTCCTTTCCCGTGAAGTGAAGCCGATTGCATCGTATTTTTGTAAGCTTTCAAAGTCAGGTTTTAATCGGACTCAGAGGGGTTCGAGACCTCATACGAAGTAACGCTTTAATGAACAAAGCTTACTTTTGTAACTTCGTATAGTTCGAAGCGTTTTTGGCTCCCATTTCTTACCCTGGCTAAAAGGGAGGGGTTTTGCTGTCCGAAGACAAACATCAAGCTTTGAGATCACTCGACCGGGCCAAAAGGCATTAAACCGGCCGCTCCAAAGCAATTTTTCAATAAGATGGGATTGAAAGGGTCGAGTCCGTGCGGAAGGGTACACGTAGAGTAAGTCTAGTTTGTCAACATAGTTGATCCATCCCGTTCTGTATCTTGATTATAATCATCCGACCGTACGAACGCTTTAAGGCTGCAAGTCAGCCGATATCAAGTATAATACCAGTTGTTCGCGAATTTCGTCAAACTTTGGTGTTAATTGACTTTCGTGGCTGTCGGGTATCAAGAGTTGAAACTTCTCTTCGTACGAGAAATGGCCGACGGATTAAGCAGCTTTTCGAGCCAATGAAGGCAGATTTTATTAGACGCTACCCGTTCAAATCTCCAATAATTCGGAATGTTATTGATTCAAGATCCAATGTAATCCTTGCCTTTGAAAATCACGCACGGAAGTAAGGCCTAAACCGAAGCATTCGTACAGTTAATAGCGGTCACCCACTCGCAATTTCCAGGTTGTAAAAGCGATTGCCAACCGTAGTATTGAACTCTTATAATGGCCTTTGCGGTAGCTATTAACCCTATACGAAACCGGTCTCGTCAAAGTTATTAACATGATTCGGATCGATCCTGTTCTGAACAATCGTTTTTAATAAGGGGAAAAAACCACTTTGCGATAATTCTCGGGTCTTCGCACTTCACATTCATATCGTTTTGAGAAACGGGTCAAGAGTTAGGGATGTCGTTTAATAAACTTTGTACACTAACTTTGGCCAACCAAAGAAACCGGGTTAGTTCCGTGCGCAGCGAGAAGATTATTTGCCGAAAATTGATTGTGTCTGAATGGATTTCTGGGTAATTACCCGAGAACCCCTTAGGACGCCAAAAACTGGTTCTATTGCCTCGTTACAGCTATAGGGAGAATCGGTATTTGAAGGGGTGACCGCCACGTCAACTCTTCCCGTGGGTCACCTCTTCACGTTGACAATTGTGGCTTGACATAGAACATGTCGGCTCTATTCCATAGCCAGTCGCGAAAACATGGTTTCAATCTCGATGAACTTCAGAAAAGAACAAATCCTCTGTTTTATTTTCCAAACCGGACAGCGGAACCATCAAAAGAGATCGCCCATGCCAAAAGGCGGCGATAACGAATTTCGGCTATAGGGCAAGAAAACACGGCTGGGGTAGGGTGGTTGTACTATACTTTTAGGTGGTCATGTAAATTAAAGGAGCATGAGAGTCTGTCCTTCATCCTCGTGAAGCCAGCAGGGCTTACTACTCATAATGGCCCACACGTAAGACTAATATTACTTGGTGATACAAACTGCTGGCCAGTGCAAATAAACGGGACCATAGGGCAGTAAAATTTTACATAGGGTAAGCAATTCCAGCAACATAGTAGCAGAACGTAGAAATCCAATTTCGAATATAGCGCCATGGAGGGGATGGACAATCGCTGACTGCGACTGGCCAGAAGTTGACACAGACCCACCTGTCAATAATTGGGGCGGGTGACACTGTTTTCCATAGTTTGTTCCCATCTGTGACCTGTCAGGTCCTAGAGAATGGGCTTGGCACGGTCGCTACTTCCCCATTGGTGGAGATAAAGCGCCACCAACTATGGCGATTATCATGTCTGTTGGTTGATGATGCTGTTGACTCGTGAACAACGGGCCTAGACTAAGATGCTTTTCTTCCTCGCCACAGAGAAGCGAACATAAGAAACGATGAGTGTGCTCAGGTCGCCCATAACGGTCTGAGCGATAAATCATCCTGATATAAAAACTCGACCATCTGCCACTCCCTCTCTTCCATGATCGCCAACCAGATCGGCTGTTATCATGGCTGGCGAAGCAGGGCCCATAAATGTGTCCCGGGCGATGGCCATGTTGATTGCAGCATTTTTCGCTCTAGCATGTTACAATGTTCTGGAAATCGTGATTTCGATCTTCACCACCTTCAAGTGTCGCTTCGCCACGGACTCTACTTCTGGAGCATGCTGATCGCCACTTTGGGGATCCTACTCCACTTTGGGGATCCTACTCCACGCCATTTCGGTATTCCTTCGATACTTTGCACTCGCTCCTAACTTCCCTATGTGTGTTTTGATTTGCATTGGCTGGTACGCCATGGTGACGGGTCAGTCCGTGGTGCTATATTCGCGACTACATCTGGTGACCACCCATTCACACCGCTGTCGCTGGGTCCTATACATGATCGCATTCAATCTTTGCATCTTGCATGTCCCTGTTACCATCTTCTTTCTTGGGAGCAACCTCGGCGTCAAGAGCTTCGTCACGCCATTCAATATCTATGAGCGGATCCAACTGACTGGGTTCGCCATCCAAGAGACGATCATTAGCGCTCTGTATATCTGGGAAGCAATAACAGATCTGAGACCTGTTCTTGATATGAAAGGTTCTGTTGGGCAAACGGTTATCATTAACCTTATCATTGTCAACATCATCACGGTACTGTTGGATGCAACCCTTCTCGCCACTGAGTACACCAACAACTTCGAAGTCCAGACAACATACAAACCGGTAGTTTACAGCATCAAATTGAAAATGGAGTTTACAGTGCTCAACAGTCTTCTCACGGTGGTCCGCGCAAACCCTTCGACTGTCGAAGGTCGTGAACAACTAGGGGAATCGGATCATGATCGTCTAGAGCTGCCATAAGAGTGGCTTTCATACACAATGGGTAGCGAACCAGAAACCCATTTCAACCCAAAAATTGACCGGTCATTTTACCTATATAAAGGGAATGGAGTCCAAGTGAAAGTATCATGATGCATTAATCCCAGTGCCCAAAATCGGGTCGAGATATATCCGGCCAGAAGAGGTTAGTAGTGCTAAGCGTCATGCGGTAAGCAAACATACTTCACGTCTGCAGACACAATTTTCATAGATTTATATACCGCTTGGACGACTCCCAATCGTACAAAGATAGCGCGTATGGCCTTAAATCGTAAATATATACCTGCATTTTAAGAAGATGAACCATTATCTAGCGAAGCCCAAGCACTTTGGACCGTAAACCCTACAAAGCCATATTTATGACCCATTCAAAAGCACATTCCACCGGATACAGTGGCGCACTACTAATTCCTTTATGCCACTTTTATGTCGAGTTGTGCCAAACCAATTTCTTCCCTAGGTACGAGGTAAAACATTTCAGCAGCTAAAACAGTAAATATTTTTTCTGAAAAGCCGCAGCTATGAGGAGTCTTCGATAGCGGAAGCTATTCAGCATCCTAGTCACTTGATTTCATTGCATGAACAACCTCAGGCCAATGGGTAAGGTTCCCGTATACACTTCCTCCGTATGTCAAGTATCCTTGAACCATCGGTCGGGGCAGTCTAAGTATATCATCTGTGTTACCAAACACCCAGGCTGTTTGCATTCCTAGTGGATGGAATTGAGTTAACCAGGAAGATTGACGTGAAGAGATTCAGACGCAAAAAGCAAATATATATATTGTATATATATATCTGTATGCCTGGGAGTAGGAAGCACAAAGGGAGACCAAATACATACCCATAATCATATGCTGTAGAGTATGGCAATGGATCATCCACACTCCAGGATCTGTAACCCGGACGCGCCATGCTCTCCACCCTGCAGCTTGCCCTGTGGGTGCGGTTGTGGAATATCGATAAAGCATCGTTGTGTCACGTTGGATTGGTTGTCGAAACTTTAGAGAAGATTCATTTTCAGTGACATTGTAGGTTCCTGGTCCACTTCCAATATCGTAAAAATGCAAGCCATGTGAGTGAAAAGGATGCACATCGAGTGCTCCGGCAGTTGAACCTGAATTTTGGATCACAATTTCTAACACCTCCCCAATTTGGGCCGGAAAAGCTCGGACGCGAGGATCAATGCCTAGGCCATTTTCAATGGCCACATCATATGACGGAAGAGCCGCTTCATTGTTCTGGTAGAGCGCCACAAGGTATGGGGTTTGCGGGAATGCCTCGGCCCAAGGTGCACCATTTTGCCTCCATGAGATAGAGCCATTTATGATCTGCTCGACCTTTACAATCACCCGTCTGGTGACATTGGCGAGCAAAGGGAAGTCGTTTGGGATGAGGGGGGAAAGGTCATTGTCAACCCAGTCAAAAGTCGTAGTGGGCAGCTCCATAGGTGGAATCTCTGGCGGCTGAATGTTATCGTACTTCTCTCTCGGATACTCAAGCACGGCGTATGATCGTGTGAGAGTCGGTCGTTCTCTTGACTCGAGCTGTAGAAAAAACTTCTTGCGACCTTCTGTATAAAGCTCCCGTTCACTTTTGGTCCGGAGTAAGACACTGTAGCGTTGGCCCGCGCCTATCTGGAGGTGTCTGATTGGCAGGGGCTGAGTGTAGCCTCCGTCCGCTTCAATAATCACCATTTCATGGCCCTCGAATGCCATTGAAACGAAGGAAAGAGCCGTGCCGCCAATAATACGAAATCGGTATGTCTTGTTTGGCTCAACATTCAATGAAGCAAGAGAGCACGAGAGCCCTCCTGAAGTGGAGTTGTTAATTGTGCCCCGGCCATTCACAAGGATAGCTTCGGTCTCACCACTCCAGGTAAATGGATCTGAGGTTAGGCCTTGCTCCACTTGCGCATCAGACTTGTCAAAATAGTCTGTCAGAAGAATAACGCGTTCTTCATCGTACGAATAGGGAGGATCTCGGGAATCGCGCACAATCAGAGGCCCTACTGCCGACACAGCTTGGAAGCCGACATGGGAGTGGTAAAAGTATGTCCCAGCTTCGCCGTATTGGGGCCGCACTTCGTAGTCGAAAAAGTGTCCTGGAGGTATCGGCCACTGGCTCGCCATAGGAGAACCGTCTGAAAAAGGAGCAGTTGACTGGCTTAATCCATGCCAGTGCTATAATCCTCATACTTAGTCGGTGTGGCTAGAACATCGTTAATTGGATAACCTACCATGGTTAGGTTTTGTCCTGAAATGTCGTTGTAAACCCTAATCCATGTCACCTTCTCTTCATGGAGGGCTATCAAAGGCCCTGGCGTGGTTTCATTGATGACCACAGTAAAACGAGTCGTACAAGCAATCGGAATTGACTTAGCAGTGACGCGGAGAATGACGTCAGGAGTAAAGTGTTCATCGTGTCGCATAAGCCTTGCTGCCCAAACAAAACAGAATGAGGGTAATAAAAGAATATAACGCAGCAAAATCATCTTAGTGGCGAGAATAATGTTGTTCCCAGGTGAGGTTAAGCTTTTCAACTGAGGGCGTAAAATGTTCCATTTATGTACACAGCTTGCGTTAATTTTCCGGTTCAATATTTGACTAGCAGACAATCTAGTTAAGGTCTTTTTTTTTTTTGTTATCGGCTGTTGTTATCTCCAGAATTGTCTAGTTGATACTTAAAAGTCCACTCCTTCTTCTACCCGTTCACTCAATACCCATTAACATTATTGGCGCAATAGAGTTCAACTACGGGGGAATAAAATGTAAAAATGGAGACTCCAAACGCTACTTAGCAAATCTGCGAAAATCAAAATGTGGGTTGAGGGCAACTGGTGCCAAATAGTGCATTCATGCCTAACGCTTGTTGTTCAAGAATTAAAAACCGTAATGATGATTATGGCCAAGGAGACTTGGTATACGATTTAGTTCTTTCTGAACACAGCTTCCTGCACCAAGTCAATAATCACCTCTTGAATTTCTTTCCATGAATCAGACACCGGACGTGGGTGCCGGAACACCATACAGCTACAATTGCAAGAGGGCAGTGGCTTTGTATAGACAAGACTTCTTTGTTCACAAGGCCGGGGTCTTCTGTATTATGCTCCCATTGAATTAGAAAATCATGGGCTAAAACTCAAAACTTTTAGTAGAAGCCGATTGGCCTGTACAAACAGAATATTTTGGATCCTCAGTTGCCAATAACAAATAGTTTAATCATTTCCTTCGGTTACTGACACATTGTGTTTCTGGCATGTATCATCGCTTTCGACGCTTTCGCACTTGAAAACTGAGTAAATGGACGATTTTTGGGTGGAGGAGGCGGAAGGGTTTATTTTTCTTCTAAAGTTTGTCGGCATTAGAACCATATCTCCGCACACACGGCGGTTGAATTATGGCGGTAGATTCTATTCCAGAATATTTATATGATATTAGTCGAGCAGGCGAAGAGCTACTCCATCAAATGCCGATTGGTCATCGCATTAGACATCACACGCAATCTAGCTTTTTTGGGGGAAGGGACACCGGTGGCGGGATATGGACAGACGGCAAATCCCATGCTGACAAAAGGCAATGATTGGTGGATAGCTTAGAAAAAGGGTTACGAAAAGCTTTCATAGAGTAGCCGCATTTCCCGAAGGTGCCGAAGCTGGCCATACAAAACGATACTTATTCAGTTTTCTTCCCTGTCTTCGTTCCACATCTGGGACAAGTAAAGCAGACATGGTTCTCAACAACGACCTCAATGGAAGACTTGCCTTGATTACGGGTGCCTCAGGAGGGTAACCTTCTCGTTCATTCATATTATGCTTGTCACTGACAACTTGCCAAAAGCATTGGAGCAGCTTGCGCCCGTGATCTGTTCGCTCATGGGGCACATCTAGCATTGACATATTCCACAAATAAATCAGCTGTCGATGCCCTCATTGACGAGCTGAAAACGCAAGACTCATCCCGTCGGGTCACGTCTCATAGAGTGGATGTCAGCAATGCGGATGATATTGCAACCCTTTATGAACAAATTCAATCGCTCCACGAGCAGTCTGGACCGGATATCCTGATTTCAAACGCAGGCTACGGCAAACGAATTTCAAACATTGTCGACATTCCGATCGAAGAATTTCAAAAGATGATACAAGTGAATCTTGTGTCCTCCTTCCTGCTGTCTAAGCTCGCTGTCCCATACATGGTCTCTCAACAGTGGGGGAGAATCATCTTTATGTCATCGATTGCGGGAATCGGGGGCGGAATAAATGGTTGTCATTACGCTGCTAGCAAGGCTGGTCTCACTGGCATGATGAAGAACTTAGCCACTAAACTGGCTCACGATGGGGTCACGGTTAATGATGTGGCACCGGCGATGATTGGTGATACCGGAATGATCCCAGACGCCAAATCCCTAAAAGGGACATCTGGAGATGTGTCCAACATTCCAGTGGGTCGGTTAGGTACACCGCAGGAATGTGCTAATGTGATAACGATGCTCTGCAAGACTGGTTATCTGACTGGACAAAGTATTCTGCTTGCTGGCGGGTTGAAATGATGGATAGCTTACAGCCATACAATGTGGCTTGTTTGAACTTCTCTTTTCTCTTTTACTCATGGTCACATCTGAATAGTTTGAGACCCAGCAAATCTTATACCTGCTACGAGGATGATTGGTTCCACTTTCTTTGGATACGAAGACCCACCCCATGAAGATCCAATCGGTTTTTTCAGAGCTTAGATCCAGCAAAAATAGGCCAGTCTGCCTGGGGATGAGGGTCACTTGATGCCGAAGACCCAGGTGGGAGGAAGAATAAGAGCAAAAAGTGCAGATCCAGACAGGATGCAGTTATCTGATTTTACAGCGAAAAAGTATATGCGGAAGAACTCCGGATTCAGGTGGATCAACGCCAGAATACCTTCATAGTAGGCCCTCAAGTATTAAGCGCTTGATGGCGACCTTCAAGAGGAAAGTTGTCGTGATGATTTACTCTCCAAGTATCACGCTATAAGCGAAGATTACTTATATAGGAGGATTACTGTGAGCCATATGGAAGGGTGTGAGTTTGGGATGTCCCATATACATCGTCCTTCTAACATCTTTCCTCCTTGTTCTATAATCACCCGCCCTTAGAACGGTCGTTTGTGCGGGAACGAAATTGAGCTCAAATTCAGGACATTTTTTGTCTTTCTCGAGCAACTATGAATGAAAATTGATGGCAATTTTAACAGGGCCATTAAAAGCTTTTTATTGCTGAAGAGTACAGAGTTTTGGTTCCCGTAAATAGCAATCAAAATGAGGGCACGAGCCTATTTCGAGACCCGTTTCGGGCGGAGAATCAGGAAGGGCTTCCACGTATTGTGCTTTAATTGAAGATTTGAAGACCGTTCATATTGGTGCACGCAAGGAGTTACTCGTCGCCATTCGTCACATCATCAATTTCAACTACCGCAAGATATTCCATATCGATTGGCATATCGATTCAAAACTAGAAGTACAGGTGCAAGAGAGATCATCCCAGCGAAACCGCATGTTTCGCGTCATCATAACTGAATCAGTCTCAAAATAGATGGCTCCGACAATAATAGTCTGAGCCAATCCAAAATCTTTATAATTGTCGCGTAATATAAATATCACCAGACCGAAACAGCAAAAATCGTGAACCCTTTGTCTGGCATCGATGGCTACCTCCATTTTCGAGCAAGATACTGCTAACGGTGAGGCCAGCCCTGGATCACCTGACCACGCTGAATCCATTATCAACAATGTTCATGTAAGTGCAGACACATGCCTCGTCAGTATATTCAAAGTTCTTTTGAATGCAGACTGAATTTCTATATTAGGGCTTCGAGGTAGGCGAAGCATTTCAGGCTTGCTTGACTCCGTCAGAACCACAAACGCAAAACCTCCAATGCTCACAGCACTTCAGCCATACCTCCTGTGTGGAAATATTAGAACTATACTCGGTGCTTTGGGATTGCTACACGGCGGAGAAAGCTGAGCTTCACAGACTTTAGCAGGAGGCCAAGATCCTTCGTTCTGCCAATGCTCAGCTATGCCTTAGGTTGCAGGTTACGGAACGAGAGTTATACAATCAAAGGATATTTTTAGCATACTCTGAGCAGCGTTTTGAAAATCTTCACCAAGGAAGGTAAATGATCGTGCAGTTCGTTCGGGTATAATTGATGTGTATCCTGTCTCAAGGTTATACCAACAAAATGAGCGAAACATACATCACTAGTATGAATGTCCCGTAACTATTGTACTCTATTCTAATATCGATAACAGGTACTTCTGTCAGTCTCACTTCTCCGGACGATGGTCACATACTTGGTATGCAGATCAGAGTGGTTTTGACCTAAATCTGTCCTATCCGGAGCAATGTTACAACCTCGATTGGACTTTTGGGCCAGTAAAAGCAAGTAAATCGTTTATCCAGCAGATTGTACAGATAAATTAATGGCAGCCTCTTTAGTCTATCGGATATGTTGACAGCGACACCTTTGTTTTTGGTGTCGACCAGTCTGTCATAGGCATCTACATTGAGGCTATCACCGGCAATTTAAAGGACGGCGTGAATATCCGCGTCAATCTTTTTTGTGCGAAAGGAGCTATCAGGTATTACTGCGAAATGGAAATGAGGTATGGATACATTTGAATGTGAAGATAACATTCAACGGAAGTTAAATGGAGATTATAAGATCAGAAACGGGTTTCGCAGTACCTGTATACGTAATTGATAGTTCGTAGATGGATGAACCCACTTTGACTGGAGAAGCTAGTAATACCATCGATTTATTTTCTTGCGCAACAATAGGTCTAAAATTCGTAGTTTAAAGTAAACGGAGGACATGCTGCAGATCCTCCAGCTACTATAATACGTTCATTTTTCTGCTCGGAAGATCTCGGACGCCTATAGCTGCCATTTAAGTTCAATTTCCAAACTAGACCAAAATACGAATCCGTACTCAGCCTAGTAAATTGTGGGTTTAGAATCCAACTACAGTGGTGTTGCATAAGTATTCGACCTCGTGTACTTCTGCCTAGGGCCCACTTTTCCAATACTGCTGGCAGAAACTTCACATAATTCGCTGATCTTAGCCCTAGAACGCAATCAAGCTCTGGGTCTTTTCCCACGTGTTGGCTGTTTAATCGGGTAAGAGAGACTGCTATAACGCGTTGAAATGTAGCGTATATACTAGCGTGTTGGAACGCGAGTTGCCTGTATTTAGCGCCGACCGGTCTACCACT